TTTTTTTTCTAATTGTTTAAGCAACTTTATCAATTATATAAGGTTTATAAACTTTATTTTAAACATTATGCACTTTTTTTCAAAGATAGTCGTGTTATTTTATTACGCTTTGAAGAAACGTGCATAATATTTTGCGAGATGCGCCCTCTTGTGGCCTCAGGAGAGAAGCCAAAAGCTTTTTTTCCCCCTAACTGAAATTATGCCTTATAAATTCGAATATTGATAATATTTAAGTAAAAAATTCCAATTTAGTTTTTCAGCCATTTTGACAGCCCTAATACCTAGTAATGATGCATTTGTAAAAGCTTTTTCATTCAATTATTTGTCTTAACACTTTCATGTCACATTATATCTGCAGACGATGATGATGTCTTTCTGTGTGGGAAATGTAAGAAGCAGTTCAACTCTTTGCCGGCGTTCATGACTCACAAGCGTGAACAGTGTCAGTCCAACACGCCGTCACTGGCCACCGTCTCTCTGGCCTCCAACAACGCCTACACCTCCGTCCCGTCCATCAGCGCCGCTAACAGACAGGTACAGCACACCTGCTGAAAAACCATGAGACGCCATATTACTGAAATTCATTCTGTTTTTATGTTTATATAATCCTCAAGGTGTCAACGTACATCACTGTGCCGCAGTCACCGCTCACACACACGCTGGTCCAGGGAAATGTGTTGGTCAGCGATGAGGTTCTGATGTCGGCCATATCAGCGTTCAGCTCTCTAGACCAGCCGATGGCAGCCATGCAGGGATTGACGCAGGTAACACTGAATAAAGCTTAAAGGAATAGTTCAGCCGAAAATTAGAATTTGCTGAAAATTACTCACCCTCAGGACATCCAAGATGTATTTGAGTTTGTTTCTTCATCAGATTTGGAGATATTCAGCATTGCATCACTGTCTAAGCAATGGATGCTCTGCAGTGAATGGGTGCCGTCAGTATGAGAGTCCAAACAGCTGATAAAAACATCACAATAATCCACAAGTAATCCACAGCACTCCAGTCCATCAGTTAACATCTGGAGAAGACAAAAGATGCGTGTTTGTAAGTTCACTGGAGGAAGCGTTATTATGGATTATGGACTTATTATTTTAGCTGGAAGAGGCAGTTTAAAGTTAAAAACATCTTAATGATGGATTTGTGTCTTATAAACACGCAGCTTTTGGCTTCTCCAGACATTAACTGATGGACTGGAGTGGTGTGGATTATTGTGATGTTTTTATCAGCTGTTTGGACTCTCATTCTGACGGCACCCATTCACTGCAGAGCATCCATTGCTGAGACACTGATGCAATGCTACATTTCTCCAAACCTGATGAAGAAACAAACTCATCCTAATCTTGGATGTCCATTTTTGGGTGAACTAACCCTTTAAGGATTACAAATAAACTGGTAACCTCTGACATTGCTTGTGTTTTTCAGAGTAATCTCAGCATGCACGCGGGAACCTCGTACCTCCAGCACCATCAGCAACCTCCACAGCCCCTCCCTCCGACACAGGCCACGCCCATGTCCTCACAGGTGCCCTCCAGCAACAGTAACTCAGTGGTGCAGGTGTACAGCACACTGCCCCCTATGGGCGGAGGCGGTACTGCAGAAATGTCTGCTCTGGGGCTTCAGTCGTTTCAGTCCATTCAGGTACAGCGCTGTTCATTAATTCACATGATCACAAACGTAATGTGCATATTTCACGAGTATTCAACTCTGAAATTCACTCAAAATTAAACTTCATGGTACATATTTGACAGAAATGGTAAATACTATTATTAAAAACACAATATAATAGACCTACGTTATAATATAATATATACTATTATAGTAATTATTAATATTTTGAATATGCTATTATTTTTATATTTTCAGTAGTTTAAAGTTAAGTAATTTTTTTAGTAGGCAATGTTATTTTAGTATTATTTATATACTATTATAGTATTTATTAATCAGATTTTTTTTCATTTTCAGTTTCCATTTTCATTTTAGTTTAAGGTTTAGTCATTTTATGTGCTTTTGTTGTTTTTTAGTAGTGTTTGTTTTTTTATATATTTTTTTATTTAAATTAAATTTATTTTATTTCAGTTTTAGTAATTTTAGTACTTCAACTTACACTTTTTTATTTCAGTTTGTTGCCAAGGAAACATTTCTAGTTTTCATTCAAGTATTTTAATTGTAATGTTTTCATCTAATATTTATATTTTATTTTATTTCAGCTCTATTTAATTAATAAAAACAATTTTAATAGTTAAAATTTTAGTTAACAATAACGTCACTGTTAGTGTAGATATTTTTATTTCTATTTAGCTTTAATTTATGTTTATTTCACTTTTAGTTTTGGTCATTTTAGTTCTTTAATATTAATTGCAACATTAGTAATTTTTGTTTAAGTTTTCAAAGTTTTTCATCTAATATTTGTTTTATTTTATTCCAGTTATATATCAGTTACCCCAAAAATTTTTTTTATAGTTTTAGTTAACAATAATAACACTGGCTGAAAATAAAAATATGCATTTATAAGTAAATTTTAAGTATATTTATATAAACCTCTAAAGGACTTTGTAAACAGTTTTTAGAAGGTGCTATTGATAAATAATATTTAATTATTATTAAATCAAGGCCTTTTCTGATTAAATAAATCTGCATATATATTCTAAGTTTACTGATGCAGGTTTGGCTGTTTAATGAACATTTAATTACCTGATGTGTCTGTGTGTTCGGCAGGTTCCCAGTCAGTGTGTGGAGGGCCAGGTGTTCAGCGCCGCTCCGGTTTACAGCCCAGGAAAACTGACCAACAAAACCAAGACCTGCACCATCAGCACAAACCTCTCTGAGCTGGGTGAATATGACAAGGTTATCATCCCTAAGAGAGCCAGAACCTCCAAGAAAACACAGGATGGTAGTTCACAGCGTCAATACATGATCTACACCAACCAGTCCGCTTATGTATTTGAATAAACAAGTACTACTTTTCAAAGTTTGGGGTCAGTAAGATTTTTTTGAAAGAAATTAATACTTGTATTCAGCAAGGAGGCATTAAATTGATCAAAAGTGACAGTAAAGACATTTATAATGTTACTAAAAATTTCTATTTCAAATAAATGCTGTTCTTTTGAACTTTCGATTCATCAACGAATCATGAAAAATAAAATGTATCACAGTTTCCACAAAAATATTGGGCAGCACAACTGTTTTCAACACTGATAATAATCAGAAATGTTTCTTGAGCAGCAAATCAGCATATTAGAATGATTTCTGAAGAGCATGTGACACTGAAGACTGGAGTAATGATGCTGAAAATACAGCCTTGATCACAGGAATAAACTATATTTTAACATATATCCACATAGAAAACAGCTATTTTAAATTGCAAAAATATTTCACAATTTTACTGTTTTTACTGTATTTTTATTAAATAAATGCAGCTTTGGTGAGCAGAAGTGACTTCTTTCAAAAACGTGAAAAAATCTTACAAGCGCCAAACATGTAAACAATAGTACATATAAAGTAACTGACAACTGCAAGAATATCCAGTCTCTTATTTTGTTCCAGCAGGCCAAGCTAAAGGAAAAGCCCAGAAGCTCAAGTGCAATTACTGTGACAAAGTGTTTACCAAGAACTTTGACCTCCAGCAGCATATTAGAAGGTAAAGGAGAAAATTCATATGAGATGTTTTTGTTCAGTGGTCTCAAAATCATGACAGTAACTGCACGAAATTCAAACAATTTGCAAAGCACATGCGTAAACATTCACAAGAACATAAACATGGCATCTAAAACTCTGTCTGGCGTCTAAATCTGCAGTCACACGGGTGAAAAGCCCTTTCAGTGTATCGTGTGCGGCCGTGCCTTCGCTCAGAAGTCCAACGTGAAGAAACACATGCAGACGCACAAGGTCTGGCCCGCTGGAGTTCACAGCACTGCTTCCAGGATGCCCATCACCGTATGCGTGCTTCCTCTAAACAGTGACGAAAACTCACAGCAGATGGAGGAAGAAGGGCAAGAGCAAGGTGAGACAGCACGAGCTACAGGAATAGTTCAAACAAAAATTTTAATTTGATGAAAATGTTCTCACCCTCAGGTCATCCAAGATTAGGATGAGTTTGTTTCTTCATCAGATTTGGAGAAATGTAGCATTGCATCAGTGTCTCAGCAATGGATGCTCTGCAGTGAATGGGTGCCGTCAGAATGAGAGTCCAGACAGCTGATAAAAACATCACAATCATCCACAAGTAATCCACACCCCTCCAGTCCATCAGTTAATGTCTTGTGAAGCCAAAAGCTGAAACAAATCCATCATTAAGACGTTTTTAACTTCAAACCATCACTTCTGGCTAAAATACGAGTCCTCTATCCATAATAACGCTTCCTCCAGTGAAAAAGTGGTCTTGTCTGAATCAGGAGAGAAATCTGCACAGATCAAACACTGTTTACAAGCCAAAACATCTCTAAACAAATATGTGGGTGGATTTTGATGTGATAAACAACAAGAGATGGACTTTTTCACTTGAGGAAGCGTTATTATGGATTATGAACTCATATTTTAGCCATAATCAGTGTTTTGAAGTTAAAAACATCTTATTGATGGATTAGTTTCTTACAAACACGCAGCTTTTGACTATACAAAACATTAAAGGGGTCATATGATGTTGCTAAAAAGAACATTATTATTTATTTTTGGGTGAACTATTCCTTTAATCCTGGTGATGTTTCATACCAACCTAAAGATTTGTGTGGCTTCGTCTCCAGCCATTGAGGAGCAGGACGCTGGGGTCCAGGAGACACAGGGTTCAGCGGAGGGGAAACAGAGCAGCGGGATGAACCAGAACAAGCAGATCATCCTCATCGACAGCTCGTACCAGTGCCAGTTCTGCTCAGCCAAATTCAGCACCTACTTCCAGCTGAAGTCTCACATGACGCAGCACAAGAACGAACAGGTACCGCACACAGACAGAAACATTTTACAGAGCCAGAATACTAAATATCACCACAAAATGTATATTTACATTTATTCATTTAGCACACTCTTTTTTTATCCCAAGCGACTTACAAAACAGAACAAATATTTGTAATATACAATGCCAGGTTTATTAGACAAATAGATTATGAAGCAAGAGGAGAAGTGCAGAAATAGAAAAATTATTTTCTTACCAGTTTTTTTTCCCACTGAAAATATCTAAACATCCTTAAAATTAGATAAATTATCTATATAAAATATTATAAAATATTTAGATATATACCGGTAATTAAATAAGTAAACGTAAAGCAAAACTGCATAAGAGAATATATCTTGAATTAAGCTTATTTTTCTGTGCTCATTATAGCAAAGATGTTTTTTATTTTTTATTGTTTTCAGCAGAAATGTAAAGAGATTTATGCTTAAAAGGGAAAAACAAACAGCTTAGAATAGATTCTCTGAAAACAAGTTATTACTTAGCAATTTTGCTTCTCAGGTAAATTTATCTTGTTCTGTTAAATAATGTACGCTACTGTTTAAAAGCTTGGGTTCAGTAAGATTATTATTATTTTTTTTTTAATAAATAAATATCTTACGCATTAAAATGATCAAAAGTAACAGTAAGGACGTTTATAATGCTACAAAAGATTTCTATTTCAAATAAATGTTGTTCTTTTGAACTTTGTATTCATGAAAGAATCCTGAAAAATAAAATGCAAAAAATAAAATTACTATCTAACAGTTTTGCTTCTCAGATAAATTGATCTTGTTTTAAGGATCTTTAAATGACATAAGATATTTTGGTAACACTTTACATTAAGCTCACATTAGTAAACAGTAGTTAATGCATTTACTAACATTAACTAACAATGAGCAATACATTTGTTACAGTAATGATTAATTTTAAACTTTAGGTAAAATAAGTACAACTGTTCATTGCTAGTTCATGTCATCATGTTAACTTTTGATTTTAATAATCTATTATTAAATGTGAATGAAATTAACATTAACTAAGATTATTAAATGCTTTAGTAGTATTTTTCATTGTTAGTTCATGTTAACAAATGGAACCTTAGTTCTGTAAAGTGTTACCACTGTTTTTACTGAAAAAAGAGACAATGATGCTAAAAATATAAAATAGCATCTTTCGTTTCAGATTTACACAACACCAAACGTCATGTAAAAATGAAGTGTGGATAGTCATTTTAGTCATCTCAGTGTGCGATGGTCAAACGTGACTAACTCTATGAAGTTCCTGTCAGGTGTACCGCTGTGTGGTGAAGAGCTGCTCTCAGACGTTTCAGAAGCTGGATCAGTTTCTGGAGCACATCCACACGCACCAGGAGCAGCTGACGTACCGCTGTCACCAGTGCAGTAAAGTCTTCCCATCGCTCTTCGAGCTCGGCCTTCACCAGTACTCACACAGCTTCTGTCCGCAGCAGAACCAGCACAAAGAGACCAACTACTACAGGTCACACACACACACACACAAACAATCACTTGCTAACTACTACAGGTCACACACATACACACACACACACAATCACTGATCAGCTACTACAGGTCACACACAAACAACCACTTACCAACTACTACAGGTCACACAGACACACAGACACACACACACACACACTCTCTCTCACACACACACAGAATTACTTACCAACTACTACAGGTCTCACACACACACACACTCTCTCTCACACACACACAGAATTACTTACCAACTACTACAGGTCTCACACACACACACACTCTCTCTCACACACACACAGAATTACTTACCAACTACTACAGGTCTCACACACACACACACTCTCTCTCACACACACACAGAATTACTTACCAACTACTACAGGTCTCACACACACACACACTCTCTCTCACACACACACAGAATTACTTACCAACTACTACAGGTCTCACACACACACACACTCTCTCTCACACACACACAGAATTACTTACCAACTACTACAGGTCTCACACACACACACACTCTCTCTCACACACACACAGAATTACTTACCAACTACTACAGGTCTCACACACACACACACTCTCTCTCACACACACACAGAATTACTTACCAACTACTACAGGTCTCACACACACACACACTCTCTCTCACACACACACAGAATTACTTACCAACTACTACAGGTCTCACACACACACACACTCTCTCTCACACACACACACTCACACACAATCACTGACCAGCTACTACAGGTCACAGTGATAAGACTTAAGAGGTTAAACTCTGCTCAGATCTGAATGTGTCGTTGTTGTTGTTTTTGTGTTCAGATGTATGAAGTGTCAGAGTAAATATTCCACACAGGAAGCTCTGGAACAACATCTCCTGAACGCCACACACAATTACCCCTGTCCACACTGCCAGAAGGTCAGCAATATTTCAGTATTATTTACATAATATTATAGTATTTCTTAATAATTTGAATTATTTTTATTTTTATATTTTCACTTTTCGTTTTCATTTTAGTTTGTTTTAGTAATTTTGTTATGTGCTTGTCATTTTATAATTTTTTTTATATATATTTCTTTTTACCTTTATTTTATTTATACTTCGGTTTTAGTAATAAAAAAAAATAAATCTTTTTTTAAGTTTAAGTTTTACATCTAATATTTACATTTTATTTCAGCTTTATTTCAATTAAATCTTTTTTATATATTTCTATTTAACATATATATATTTTTTTTTTTTTCATTTTTTGTAATTTTAGTACTTCAGCTTAAATTTACTGAAGTCGGTTGCCAAGGCAACATTTCTAATTTGTTTGTTTGTTTGTTTTTTTAATTTAAGTTTTTCATCTAATATTCATATTTTATTTCAGCTTCATTTCAGTTAACAAACAATATTTTATTTAAAATGTTTTAGTATTATTCAGTACCATTATTGTATTTAATACTTTGAATTAGCCTTTATTTCTATTCTGTTTTTAATTTTAAGTTTTAGCAATTTTGTTATGTGCTTTTGTCATTTTTTGTATTTTTTTTAATGTTACTAGTTTTAATGTTTGTTTTTTTTTTAGTTAGTTGTCAAGGCAACATTAAATTTAACTTTTTCATCTAATATTCATATTATATTTTATTTTATTTCAGCTTCATTTCAATTGATGAAAAGGATTTTTAATGTTTTTAGTTTTAATTTTAGTTTAAGCTTTAGTAATTGTATGTTTTCATAATTTTTATTAGTTTTTGTTTTGTTATTTAACTTTATTTCAATTTTACTATAGTTCTAGTTTCATCTTAAACTTTCTAACTACCATTATAAAGTGTTACGTTTTTCATGTAATATTTATATTTTATTTAAAGTAAAAAAAGATTTTTAATAGATTTAGTTTTAGTTAATAATAGCACACTGCAGAAGGCACCAGAGGAGTCAGCGCCTGAACATTTCTGTTCAAAGAATCATATTGAAGAATCAAGAATCAAATGAAACATATTTGTCAGCGGTGAATGTGTTTGTATCTGTCAGGTGTTTCCGTGTGAGAGGTATTTCCGCAGGCATCTCTCCACTCACGGCGTCGGCGGCAAATTCAAATGTCAGATCTGTAAAAAGTTCTTCAAAACAGAGCACTACCTCAAACTACACACAAAGATCCACTCAGGTACAGTATTTTACTCGTAAACACAGTTTTAGTCTTATATAGTTGAGTTCATGAAGGATCTAGAAAGATTGAAGTCCCACAAACAGATGAGTTAATGTATTAATTAGCTTTGATTGAGTAATAAACTGAATTTATTTTGAGTCTGATGTACCGTATTGGCCCGAATATAAGACGACCCTGATTATAAGACGACCCCCTTTTTCCAGATGTACCTTTTGGGAAGAGACACATGCTGATCCACGAACCCTTCAAGAAGTACAAGTGTCCCTTCAGGTGAGTGACGGCAGAGAAGCATCCGTGTGATGTGAATGTGTTTGATGATTTGATTTCTGTGGCAGGACTCATGTGGGCTGCACTAAAGAGTTCAACAGACCCGACAAACTCAAAGCTCATATTCTCTCACATTCAGGTGAGGATGATGAAGTCTGAACTTTAGTACTTCAGTTTTACATATAATATTCAGCCTTATTTTAATGAACGAAACTGATTTTAATAGTTTGTTTTAGTATTATTCATATACTATTATAGTATTTATTAATAATGTTAGTATTATATTAGAATTTTAGTCATTTTAGTTTGTTTTAGTCATTTTGTTATGTGCTTTTGCCATTTTTGTTTTTTATTTCTATTTAGTTTGATTAAATTTTGTTTCTAGTTTTAGTCATTTTAGTTCTTTAGCTTAAAATGATTTTCTAATTATCATAAATTTTCAAGTGTTAAGTTTTTTTAATTTTTCATATAATAGTTTTATTTTATTTTAACTTTATTTTTAATCAAATAAAAACTTTTTAATAGATTTAGCTTTAGTTAACAATATATTGTAGTATACTATACAATTTTGTATTTTTATATACTAATATTCATATTTTATTTAATTTCAGCTTTATTTCAATTAACTAAAATAGTTTTTACAATCATTGAGACACTACTAGTTTTTATTAATATTTTGAATTGGTTTTCATTTTTATATTGTCCATTTTCTTTTTAATTTGAGTATTTTTGTTGTGTTTTTGTCATTTTTATTAGTCTTTTTTAATAATTCTATATTTTAAGTTTTATTTCAGTTTTTGTTGTTACTTTAGTACAAGGTAAAGTTTAGAAAAGTTCACAAACCCCTTTTGATTAAAATCTGCATTTATTATATATAAATATAAATCTGCATATTGTGTATGAGTTTTAATATAATATATATATATATATATATATATATATATATACACACACACTACTTTTTTATTAAAAACTATATATAATGTAATATATAATATACTCATAATATGTGAATACATATGCAGCCAAATATATATATATATATATATATTAGTTTTTAAGCATATATATTCAAAATTATTATTCTATTCTATTATTCTAAATATGAGTGTTTACTTAAAAAATACTTAAATTATAATCAAAAAATATTTTCTTGGCAAAACCCCTTAATATCTTAGTAATAGCTTTGCTTATCAGGTGAATTTATCTTGTTTTTATGGACATTTCAATACTGTTACTGCAAAACAAGGCAAAGATACTCTAATAAACGTTTTTTGTTGTTGTTGAGTAATGTGGAACTGTATAATAATGTATGAAGGGAATGTAGGTATAATCTCTTTTTCTCTCCTGCAGGTATAAAGCCGTATAAGTGTCAGTTCTGTCAGAAGTCGTTCAGTCGTCGCGCTCACATGCTGGAGCATCAGCGCTCGCACACCGACAACTACCGCTTCCGCTGCGCCGCCTGCAACAAGGGCTTCACCCGCCACAAATACTACAGTGATCACAAGTGTCCGCTGGCGGGGGCCGCGCAGGGTGCAGACGGGACGCCGGGACGGGACAACAGCGGCCAGGGTAAATACACACACACCTTAAAGGGACAGTTCACCCAAAAATGAAAATTTGCTGTTAATTTACTCACCCTCTGGCCATCCAAGATCACATTTTACATATTCAGTAGAACAGTAAAGAAGATTTTTAGCTGAAACTGTGATCCTTGGTGATTCATAAAATGCAAGTAAACAGCTACTGGCACTTTGAGAGTCAAAAAAGCATATACAGGCAACACTAAATGAATCCCTGTGGCTTCTGATGATATATTAAGGTCTTATGAAGCGAAATGATCAGTCTGTGCAAGAACCTAAATATTATTTACAAAATTATTACCTGTAATCCAGAGCCTCTAGACAAACTAGGAAATCAGATTCTTTTCCTCAAACTGATTCTTTCGAACAGTTCGTTTCAATGAACTGGTTCAATTCACTAGTTCATTTACGTAATCACGCAGTGATGTAAAGTATGCGCGATTATATTATTAAAGCGCCCAATAATAATGTGAAACGTGGATGTTTTACATGTCTAAAGCATATAAACAGAATAAACTAGCCTAGCTCACCTTTGTACATAAACAATGAGAAACCCTAATAACATTAATTATTAAGTTCGGTTCACTCATGCTCATATCAGCGGCTCATTCAGTCCGAGTCGAACTGTTTCCTCAGTTCAGTGACTGGTGAATGATTCATTCATCACAGGATCAGATGCGCTGGTATTTCGGCTCATTTTGACTGAGTAACTTGTAGATCTGTGCTGCTTGAGCCACAAACTGTTTCAGATGATTCAGTCCGATTTGGTGAACTGATTCAACTAAAAGAAGAACTGATTCGTTTGTGAACCGGACATCACTCCGAACCGTTTGCCTGAGGCTCTGGATTACAGGTAATTATGTTGTAAATAATGATCAGTTTCTTGCACAGACCAGTCGTTTCGCTTCATAAGACCTCAACATATCGTCAGGAGCCACGAGGATTCATTTTGTGTTGCCTGTATGTGCTTTTTTGACTCTCAAATTGACGGTAGCCATTGACTTGCATTTTGTGAATCTGCAAGGAGCACAGTTTCAGCTAAACATATTCGTTACTGTTCTGCTGAAGAAAAAAAAGTCACCTACATCTTGGATGGCCTGAGGGTGAGTAAACTAACAGCACATTTTCATTTTTGGTGAACTCTCTCTTTAACATGCAACTAGTGGAATTAACGAGTCATTACCACCTCAACGAAACAACATCTTTTGTTATTTCCTCAGACACAGGAGACGGATCTCCTGCCGCGGAGCCTGATGAACCTGGAGAAACCGAAGAGGAGGACGAGGATAATGACGGCCAGACGCAGCAGGATGAAGAGCGTGAGCAGATGAGAGGAGAGGAGGAAGAGGAAGAGAGGAGCGAGACGAGACTGGATCACATGCAGGAAGACGACAGCGCCGTCAGACTGCTGTCTGAACCCATGTGCTTCCAGACGGGCGACTGATGAACATTTTACAAACGTGCATCACACTGTTTACATAGCGTCGGCTTTCAGTCGTTTTTAAAAGCATAAATGATGATTTCCTTCATTGTTAAGGGTTCAGATCCCTGTTGCTGATCTTTAATATTTGATTTGTTTTATATTAAAACATTATTATAAACTGATTTCTTTTTTTCTTGCATTTGTTGAGATGAACTCAGACTGTAACCTAATCTATACGGTTTCAAATAAATATTTATCTGAATTTCTGCACATTTGCAGTACAATTATTATGTATTGTCCATACATATGTATGATATATATTTATAATGCTTGTCCATAAATCATGCAATTTATGGGATGTGGGCCAAAAACATTATAAAGCAATGTTGTAATTGTGAACAAAAAGTAAAACTAATAATCATTTTCTGTAAAAATAAAATAAAAGTATTAGATGAAAAACTTCAGCATATTCTTTTTCATTTAGTTGCCAAGGCAACATTTCTAATTTAATATTTTAACATTACTAAAACAAAAACTGAAATAAAAATAAAGCTAAAAATAAATAATAATAATAAACAAACTATTAAAAAATATTATTAGATTAGATAATATTAGATGCAAAACTTCACCTTAAACATATTTTATTTCCTTTAGTTGCCAAAGCAACATTCTAATTAAAAATTTTTGTAAGTACTAAAATGACAAACTAAAACTGAAATAAAAAAAATGAAGCTAAAATGAAGTATTAAGAATAATAAAAATTATTTTCAGTAAAAAATAAAAAAATAAAAAATAAATATTTTATGAAAACCTTCACTTTAAGCTTATTTTAGTTGCTAAAGCAACATTTTATATTTTTTAGGTTTTTAACTTTTTTTTTCAAATTTTTTTTT